TTGGGCCTTAATCCAGCAATTGCGGTTACTAACAAGGTCTCAGGATGACAAGGTTCCATATTTTGAATTCGGTCATTGAACCGGGATATATAGTCCTTAACTGTTTCGTTATCCTTCTGCACGATGTTAGTGATTGATTATTTCGGGATAAGACAGACTTGGGCTCCGATAAAGTGTGATCGGAAAGCTGCACGTAACTGTTGCCACTTCCAGATTGAATGGGCTGGAAGAGTGTAATACCATTTTTGTGCTCGTGGCCCCAATGTGAGGGAAAACATCCGACATCTCAAAGCGTCTGAGGCGCCATGCAAATCCATCCAAGACGTATAATGACCCAAGTGTGCATCAGGTTCCGAAGTTCCATCATACATGCCAATTTGTGGGATTTTTATCTCGGCAGGGAGTGCCTCCGCAGTAAGTTCGGGAGCCAAGGGTGAATCCGCTTCAATGATGACATTACCCGATGTCGAGACATGTCGGGGAGAGTCTTCTTGTGATTTCTGTCGAGTTTCGATTTCAGCCAATCTTTTACGGAGAGCCTCTAATTCCTCTGCACTATGTCTTGACACACGATTTCGTTCAATTTGATGACGTAAATCTTCACGATCACGGGGTACTGGTGAGGGGGGTCTAGGACGTGAAGGAATTCTATGATGGTGAGCGGAGTGGCTTTCAGCAGTCATTTCTTGAACAGGAGGCTCATCCGCAGCCTGGTTATTTAATATTGGATTAACAGTTATACGAGTCATATCATCTCGATGTTGAGAAGTATGACGTGGTTGTGAAGTAGCATGTGATGCTGCCATATGTGTTTCTTGGTTATGATGAATAAGATTTGGGTGTTCTGTTGGATTCATGGGGAAAGGTGTGGATAATGGTACGGTGCGCGAGTTTCTGGGCATAGCTCGAGCTATAAGAGAGGTTAAGCCTTGAATAAACTCCGGGTTTTGAAGAAAGTTCGTAATATTGGTGACCGGAGGTGGTGGTGTTGAACGCCTTGGGGAGCGATTCGTAGCATGGCTTTGGCCTGCATGGGAGGCGTGTTCTCGACCAGATTGCGACATGGGAGATTCGAGCGAATAATGGCTACAACAGCGAAAGTTAACCTCAAACACTTATGAGGCCCTTCCTCTAGCGCCAAACTGTTGTTATATGGGAATCAACGAAGAGTGTTTAACGAAAGTTACGTCGATTATTCAGAAAGATTCAACTTATGAAAAGATGATAAAAACAGGGTTTATTGAATGTGATAGATCATCCTCCCTCTCTTCGGGAGGTCCTCTCTTTTTTTTTTTTTATAGTCTCATACAAAATTAAGATTACAATCATTTCTTAGGAAAAGTCAATGGCGATCGATGACCATTCATCCTCGCAGCACGCCACTTATCAAGGCATAATGATGATTTTGCTGAGCTGGCACCACCTTATGATGTCGGCTTGATATGTCATAGATATCGGTTTATCATGCCTAAACCGATATGAGATATCGGTTTGTTTGATGAGGACATCGGTTCTTGGGTCATTTATCCGACGTGTTTTTACTTGAGATTTGCGAGCACGTCAATCCTTTGAGACAGCATAATCTTCTAATTATTGAGATTTGAACGCCAATGAGTATTAATAACTTGGTTTACCGAAAACCATATTAACAATATATTTTTTTTTAATCAAACATATTATTTTTCTATTTGATATGACATGTCTATTAATCAATTGTGATTCATGTAAGAACGCTGCTTATTAATTTCGATCGAATGCTCATAAGTGATAAGCTTTTTTAGAATAAAAAGAAAAAAAATCTAAATTCTCCCATTTGTTAGAAAGATAAATCTTTATTTTTGGTCAAAAATTGAGGGCAGCCCATTCCTCAACATGGGAATTAAAAAAGTGGGAAATTCATCAAAATGTGGGTTAGATACAAAGTATGCTTTTGATCATGTCTATGAGTCTTCTCAAGTTGGTCTATTTTAAAGTCAAAATTAATTACATCAATAATGTTCAAAGAATGAATTCCTATATCTAATCATAGTGCAAAAATAATTGATTTAATCCCTTATTGCCAAAGCATTATGTCTATCTACTATAATTTGAGTAGGTTTTTTTTTTTTTTTTGCAAGAATTATGTGTAAAATAATTGATTTAATCCTTCATTTTTTTTAAAGGACTCATATTATAAGATAAGATGCAAATAAACTCTTGTGAACTTATAAGCTCTTTTCTTAAGGGAAAAAAAAAAAAGAATACCTTACCCCTCATTTTCCTTCCAACATATTTTAAGTTATTCCATTTTTTATCATTTAAGATATCTTATACATCCAAACATATTTTTATTATAAATATTTCAATTGATAAATTTTTAAATAAGACATAACAACTTACCAATTTTAAAAATATTTACAAATATCATAACTATTAGAATATTCACTTGTAAGTTGTCCCGCATCGTTTATATAAAGAAAATATGTCTAACTTATAAGTCTAGTGGACTACTTCTCATTCCTCCAATTGATTTTAGGATGAAACCCTACTAAGACTCATCTAGTTTGGTGCGTTTCACGTATGTGGGACCGCACCCGTCAACTCTCGTTTCTCCATGGTATCAGAGTCGGTTCTATTGGGATTGTGTGATGACGTACCTGCTTTTCCATGCTCGGTTGGGCTTAGGCTCTCGGCTCCGTATATAAGCTTGGGCTTTTGTATGAGGAACTCACAAGTGAGAGAGTGTGTTAGAATATTACTTGTGAGTTGTCTCACATCGTTTATACAGGGAAAATAGGCATAGTTCATAAGTTTAGTGGGCTACTCCTCCCATCAACCAATTGATTTTGGGATGGAACCTCATTTGAGTTTTTCCTATCGTGGTGCGTTTTATCTGCGTGGAGCCGCATCCGTTTTTCCTCCGTTTTTTTACAATAACGTTTAAGATATTTTATTAATTAAGTAGACTGATCCCAACAAATGAATACACACGAAATTATGTTTTTAGACACTGAGACTTGTCGATTTAACATCAAATTAAATTGAAAGGAAAAATAGAGACATGAATGAAACGTAAATTAATAAAAAGGAGATGCATGATCACTAAACCTCGTCAAACTTAATAATTTTCAGACAGACAGACAGCCAGCCCCACCGACCAATCAATGACGGGGTGGCTTTGTTAAAAGTTGGAAAAATTAACAAGATAAATTTGATTAAGGAAAGTGGCGAATATTAATTATTCCAACAAAATCTATGTTCATCAATCCTCATTATTTTAAATTGACCTTATATATCAGCTCAAATTAAATAATTACTTTTAATTCAAGATATTAAACAAAGAATGCCTTTATGATCATATGGGTACATATATATATATATATATACATATATATATATATATATATATATATATATATATATATATATATATAATCAAGTATGAAAAGTTTGTTATTTTCATTTTTTTTTGGTACAATCAAAAATAAATAAATATTATTTTCCGCATTTTTCCATGCATGTTTTATGAAATTGAACATTCAAAAACGCCAATTACATACTACAATTAACTTATAAAATTTTGTATAATTAAGGAGCTTAAAAGTTTTTAGTTGTATTCAAATTATGTCCCATTTAGTTGGATGCGTTGTCTTTAAAAAAAATCAACCCTTTTAACTTTATGTTGTTTATTGATATAACAATTTTCTACAAAATATATTCTTGGCACTAATTATGGTTGTATAATTATTTATGGTACTTGCATTATTATTTTATTTTATTTATATATAACTAATGCATGGATTTATTTTCTAAATTTCTCTCTTTCCATAATAAATATTTTATTTACATTCTGATTATTTTAAACATAACAATAATAAACAATATTGACCTAAAAGCTAAAGAAATTAAAATATTCACGTTCGTTGTTAACAATAATAACGGTAAGATAAAAATATATAGCTGGATTATTAATTCTGTTCGTGTGCAATTAATTAGCTGAGGTACCATATAAATACTCTTGTAATTATTCTTTTCTTAAATAAAAAATAAAGAACAAATTAAAGGTATTATTATTATTATTATTATTATTATTATTATTATTATTATTATTATTATTATTATTATTATTATTATTATTATTATTATGAAACATCAAGCACATGCTACCCGCCACATGCATGTGGGTGAGTGTGAAAGCATATGGGCGACAAGCAATGCATGCAGTGTAAAAAAATTGATAATGAAAAACATTGATTATAGACGAGGAGTCCAAAAGCAAGCTACAATACTTTTACTTGACATAAAAGGAATTATGATGCTTGCTATAACACCACCACACATTGGGCTTTGTTATGGAGTCATCGGTATCTTTGCTATGGAGCCATCGGACAGGGGCGAAGCCAGCCTCAAATTTCACGGGGGTCGGCAATATTTTTTAGCGGGGTCATTAACCTAGTAAACAGTGTTTGAACAGTATTTTATACTAAAAATTTTGAAATCCATAGGGGTCAGCTGACCCCAGCCACAAGGTGTGGCTCTGCCACTGCCATCGGATGACTCAGCTAATAGAATATCTACAATAATTCAGAAATAATTTATTGATACGTGACCTATAATAAATGCACATTAGACATGTGTCAGCACATCAAGTCATGTATGACTCCATAAGAGAGTCATCTGATGGCTCCATAAAATCCCATAACCAACTCGATCGCAACGAACGAACAACAATCGACTCAGCAACGTGTAAAATTTAACTCATATATAGTTCATCAGAACACCAGCCACCAAAATGCGACATGATCTTCTGAGTGAAAATTGCAACCAAAAGAAAAAAAAAAAAAATTAAAAAAAGATTGAATCTCCTATACCATCTTTCAACTATCCCATCTTCAAGTATATTGTAATCTACGTCGAATAAACTAAAGGCCCCTTCATCTTTTACTCTGTAGTAAAAAAACATTCGTCAGGATAAAACTAAAGGCCCCTTCATCTTTTACTCTGTAGTAAAAAAACATTCGTCAAGATATTACGACCCTATTCGCTTGTGCCAAAACTCGCCTGAGCTCACAACCAATATCTTGAAAAGTCCCTGGTTTCCTAATCACGCCGTTCATCCCGATCCCAAAACACCTCTCCCTAATGTCCTCGCCATCGCTTGAGGTCAGACCCACAATCAACGGCCCATAATTGCGGCTCCTCAACTTGCGTATTCTCAACGTGACTTCTAACCCATCAAGATCAGGCAGGTGAAGATCTAAAAGCACGACCTGGCATAAAGGTGTGGCTGGGCCAAGAGCGCTGAGGCACTCGAACCCGGACCCAACCACCATGACTGAGCACCCAAGCTTCTCGAGCAATTTGCGAGTGACAGCTCGGTTGACATCATCTGCTTCGGCCAAAAGAACTTTTAGGCCCTGGAAGAGGGAAGTTGAAAGGAGACGATCGGAAGATTCACACAGATTTTCAGATATGGCTGTTGTTGAAATCGATGGCCGGAGTTGGAGACGCAGAAGGAGAGCCATGCTCTGGTCGAAACCATCTGGATTGGATACCACCCACATGTCTCCTTGCATCAACTGCATCAGTATGAAGAGATAATTGAAAAATAACATCTAATATTTAGCCTAATTAAAAAAAAAAAAAAAACACTAAAACTTGTTTTTAAGGAACTTGAAATTCCCTTTGGATCAAAATGGCACCATCACTAACCTGAACCAGTTTCTTGCACGCGCTGAAGCTCGTGCTTTCTTCAGCCCCACCACCAAAGAAATATCTATTGGCTCCAAACGGAATAAGCGAAGATCCAGCTTGCGCCTGGAACCCTTCATGGCAAACCCCAACCTCAACCCTGACATAAGAACACCCGTCCCTCGAGCGAGCCCACCTCCGCTCATTCGATCCCCGGCTCCCTTCGTCCAAAAACACCCGCATCACGAGAACACCTCCTCCACCGATCAACAGACTACCCACCATGTGCAAAATTACCTGAAATACCCTCCTCTCATCTCCCACCACGTGATTTGGCAAGCGCCGATCGACCTCGACCACAAAATCATAGCCTCTATAGGAGCTCAGGCATTTGGAGAGGCATGCAGCCTCCTGTACTAAGGGATGCAGCTGAAAGGGCCCTACGTCCAAAGGGAAAAGCCTCCCGGAAGCATCCATCATGTCAGCTATTAAAGTCGAGAGGACATTGCCCGTCTTCACCATGCTGTCCACGAGTAGCCTCTGCTCGTTCACCAAACCCTTCTCATCCTGCAAAACCGACAGCAGGCCCAAAACAGAGTGCATGGGGCGCCTCATCCCGTCGCTCATCACTGCCTGGAAAGCATTCCGGGCCTGGCTTGCCATCAGAGCGTCTTGCTGGGCCTGCTGCAGGGCTCGGTTCTGCTCGACCAGCTTTTCTCTCATCATCCGGGACTCCTCGAGAACCGAGGCGTGAGACAGGGCCACGGCCACTTGGTCGGCCACCACCTCGACTATTTCCAGCTCGTGATTGGTCCAAGTCCGGTTCTGACCTTCCGGAAGGACCAGTACAAGGATAGCATAGCAGGCAGGGACCATCCCGGGGGTTCCACCCTTGAAATTAGAGACCCTCAGCATCGGCATCCGGATTGCAGCCACGGATCCAGGGTCGGCACACCCTCCATTACTCAGAACAGCTAGGGCAGAATCGGAATTGAGTATTTTTACCCCGTCGTTTAACATAATCTCTTTTACATCACGGTCACTCGTTGCAATATTCAGATTGTTCTTCATATTATTTTCCTTTAATTCATGGGTGAGGTTCATCTCGGTTTTGTCCGCGTTCGGCATCCAGATGGCGCAGTTCTTCAAGTCGAGCGTTTTCGAGAGCTCGACCAATGTCGTGTAGAGAATCGTGTGGCGGTCAAGGGATCTTCGAATCTCCTGAGTCAGCATCCGGACGTGGACACCAGCCTCATTCTGCTTCTTTATGATTCCAACCTCACGGTCGAGGTCCGATGTCTTCTTCCTCAGCATGAACTCCCTCACTTTCACCTTGAGCAGTAAGGGGATGAGTGTTATGAGGGTTATGGCTGTTGCGAACGAGACCAGGGCCGTTAGAAATTTGAAAATTGTGAGGGCGAGCGTGAGCTGGAAGGAGTGGGGCCCATAGGTCCACCCAGTGAGCAGGTGGGTCGCGCCACAGAGGACGATGAAGGCGATGAACTGAAAAAGAACCCATTTGAAGGGGATGTTCGAGCAGCTCACGAAGTAGAGAAGCTCGATCGGGATTGAGAAATAAGCAACTGCAATGAGAAAGTCACTTATCCTCTGGCACTCCATGATGTTCTCGATGGTCCAAAGCCCGTCCTCATCACAATTGCAACGGAGCCCATTTTCAGCCGCGTGTAGTGGAAGAAAGAGGGATATAAACAAGCAACAAGATGCCAACACCTTTAACATTTGCATCAGATGCGTTTGATTTGTTCAATCCATTTTTTTTTTTTCCTTCCCCTTTTTGTTCTGATTAACAAGAGCTCACAAAAGAAGAAATCAAATTGTGTTGTCTTTTCCTGTTTCAGACAAGTCTGATCAAATCAATAACCCAAATATAGCTATAAAAATCACAATCATGTGTTAAAATTGAAGACATCAGATCAATCTAAGCAAAACATTAGAAAACTACAACTTATAAACAGTGGAGCCGCCATAACCAAAAACCAACTAAGTAAGTAAGCTTAAAAACCCAATTCAGTAAAATACACGCACAAGAAACACATAAACAAGACAAATAAATTAAATTATACCTGAAAAAAATTACTCGGAAACTGGTAATCTGCAGATCTCACCACCGCCGCATTTCATGCAGCAAAAGGTTCGCCGATCATCTGCGCGCCCCAGAACCACCGCGATGCCATCGCCCAATGCAAAAATCTAATCCACCGCTCAACAGAATCAGAACCCACTGACAAATCCATATAAATCACACAGCCCTCGACCGATATTAAACCGCTGAGACCAAAAAATGATTCAAATACTCTGCTTTACACAGCACCAGGAGAAGCAAACTGTAAATGGCCGCGCTCGAGCTCATTCGCACACGGATTCACATCCTCTCTACGCAGCCTCTACAGCAGATGAGTCGTAAGGATTCTTCCCCATAGATGTCTCACCAATTTTCATTTCCCCTCTTTACATTCCAATTACAACGAGAGAGAGAGAGAGAGAGAGAGAGAGAGAGAGAGAGAGATTGAGCTTTGTGAGTATGTTTGGGAAGACGCAGAGAGAGAAGTATATGTATTATAGGGTGTGAGCGCCGTTGTATTGTAATGCGGAGAAAGGCAGTTGAAAACTTCAAATGAGAGAAGAAGAGAGAGGAAATCTAAAGGGGTGGGGGTGGGGTGCATTGGGGTTCTACATGAAGAGAACTTGGACGCACTTTTATTCAAATATTAATATTAAATAAATAAATGCTTAACAACAATAATATAATAATATAATATATATAATATAATATAAAGTGCAGTGCATTGCTATCCCAGGTTCAGTTAATTGTATGGGCAATAGAATGCAAAAAAAAAAAAAAATAAAAATATAATAAACAAATGGCTATAGAAAACTATTATATTATATTAATTAATAAAATACAAAACAAAACCGCAGCCTCCTCTCAATCAATATGAAACTAATCTGATTGGGATGAACCTAGGGGCGAGGATACATTTAGAGATTGGTGGTGGTATATCTTTGAGCTAGACTAAAATGACACTTTTGAAACCCGTATTTAACTTTCAACGTATATTTTATGGTGGATTTAAAAGTGTACAAATATTTGGGTTTTTGAAAATTCTCACAGACCGGCTCCCCATGTAGTAGAAGCTGCAGTTAGAGAATGGACAAAGTTTGTGGAGGTTAGACGACAACAAAGCTTGGAGGGAAGAAGACAGTAACTCAGATAGTCTAGGGTCCAATGGATCAGTGGAAGTCTAGTCATTGTTATTTTCCTTCCTTATTTTTATGTGATTGGGTTTGAAACTTAAGTTTTCGGTTGTTTTATTAGCTGCTTAAGTTTCTAGTTAATTTGTGTTTCTAGACCACCTGCGAATGGCTCTCCCTTTATTCGGCTTAGGAATTTCTCTAGTTTGTAATCAGCCATTTTTAGCTTTATTAATGAGAATGTCTATCGTTCTAGAAAAAAAAAGAAACTAATCTGATGCATATATAATAAATAATTGATCCTAGTATAACATTAGGATAATGAAGTTAGGTATGTCCAATACATAAGTTTATTTTTCATGTATATTTATTTTAAATATGATTGACCAGTTATATAGTCTAACGTCGACATCTTATCATCCTTAAACAACATGTTTGAATCTAGAATGAGATTTTGCAGTCTAACGTCGACATCTATATCATCCTTAAACATGTTTGAATCTAGTATGAGATTTTGCAGTCTAACATCGACATTTGTATCTTCCTTAAACAACATGTTCGAATCTAGTATGAGAATTTGCAGTCTAATATCGACATTTGTATCATCCTTAAACAATATGTTTGAATCTAGAATGAGATTTTGGGGAAGATGAAGAACATTGCGAAAGAGAAGATGAAAGAATGTCTCAATCGATAACATCTGAATAATGAATGTACAAAGTGTTTTGTTCTCTATTTATACCATGCTAAATTAAAGGAAGTTGTTACTCATCAAGTAGCCAATCTAAGTGTTGTAAAATATAAAATAAAACACAATTTATAACTCTAATATCCCCAACAAGCTGAGCATGAACGTTGTGCAAGTGAAACTCGGATTGTAAATACTCAAATTGGGGTCTTGGTAATGCCTTTCTAAGCATATCAGCAGACTTTTAACATCGACATTTGTATCATCCTTAAACAACATGTTTGAATCTTGATTGAGATTTTGCAGTCTAACGTTGACATCTGTATCATCTTTAAACAACATGTCTAAATCTAGTATGAGATTTTGCAGTCTAACATCGGCATTTGTATCATCCTTAAACAACATGTTTGAATCTAGTATGAGATTTTGCAGTCTAATATCGACATTTGTATCATCCTTAAACAATGTGTTTGAATGTAGAATGAGATTTTGGAGAAGATGAAGAACAGTGCAAAAGAGAAGATGAAAGAATGCCTCAATCGATAACATCTGAATAATGAATGTACAAAGCGTTTTGTTCTCTATTTATACCATGCTAAGATTAAAGGAAGTTGTTACTCATCAAGTAGCAATTCTAAGTGTTGTAAAATATAAAATAAAACACAATTTATAACTTTAATATCCGCCGCAAGCTGAGCATGAACGTTATGCAAGTGAAACTTGGACTGTAAATACTCAAATTGAGGTCTTGGTAATGCCTTTCTAAGCATATCAGCAGACTGCTACTTGGTGTGAATGTAGTTGACATAAATTAGCTTTTGGGAGATCTTCCCTCGGATAAGATGACAATCAATTTGAACGTGTTTGGTTATTTCATGAAAACCAGGATTTTTGAGGCAATGGCCAATGCAGATTTACTATATGAAAACAAAGCTGGACCAATATGCGTTAAAGAAAAATCCTGAAACAAAATATAAAATCCATTGTAGTTCAAACAGCCCATGGCTCTGTATTCTTCTTCAGCATAGCTTCTGCTTATGGTGGACTGTTTCTTAGATTTGCAGGAGATTAGTGAATTTCCATAAAAACTGTATAACCTGAAACACTCTTCTTGGTATCTAAGCAATTAGCTCAGTCACTATCACTGTAAGTAGTAAGAGTAATGTTGGAATCTCCAGAAAACAATATTCCTTTACCAATGATTCCTTTGATGTACCTTAAGATACGGTGTGAAACTGCCAGATGTTGAAATGAAGGTTTGGTAACAAATTGACTTAAAATTTGTACACTACAAGCTATGTCTCGTCTAGTTATAGTTAAGTACAAAAGTCTACCAATTCAACTTCTAAACTCAGTCTCATCTATTAAATAATCAAAATCAGATGCATTTTGAAATTTTAGAGTAGGATCCATTAGAGTATTAGATGTTTTGCAACCTAAATATCCATTATCTTCTATCCAATGCATATTTTATTTGACACATGTGAATGCTTTTTTTCAGAATGGGTGAACTCTAAACCTAGAATATATTTGAGTTTGCCAAAATCTTTATTGATGAAATGTGAATGTAAATGTTGTTTGATATCTGTAATCTTGGCTAAGTTATTTCCAGCTATAATGATGTCATCAACATAAACCAATAAAGCCAAGAAATCAGAACCAATATGCAAAGTAAAAAGATAACAATCAGCATTAGATTGTTTGAAACCATATGTGATTAAACAAGTGGTTAACTTTTAAAACTATTGTCTTGAGGCTTGTTTAAGCCCATAAAGACTCTTAACAAGTTTGCAAACTCTTTTATCAGTAGGTAAACGATAACGAGGAGAAGGAGTCATATAGACTTCCTCATCCAAATCACCATGCAAGAATGCACTGTTAACATCAAGTTGATGGACATGCCAATTTTTAATAGCACCTAAGGAAATAAAAAATCTTCTACAGTGATCTTTCCTACTGGAGAAAATGTATCAAATTAGTTTATACATTCCTCTTTTGAGTAACCTTTAGCCCCTAATCTTGTTTTGTATCTTTCTACAGAACCATCAGCTTTATATTTTATTTTGAAACTTATTTACAACCAATATAATGCTTGTTAGGAGGTAAATCGGTTAAAATCCAAGTAATGGTTTGTACTAAAGCTGTGATTTTTTTGTTCACAGCCTCCTGCCGTAAGGGACTTTAGATGGACTGAGTATATGTCTTTGGTTCTGCGTGACAAGCTATGGATGCAGTGAATGAGCAATGAGGTGGGTACAACTAAGAATATAGAGAGATAGTTAGATATAGAGTTATGAGATGCACCAGATATGCTATGAGATATGTAATTAGAAGAGAAATTGGATGAAACAGATTTTGAAGAAGGTATATTGTGTTCATATATATTCAAGAATGCTGGAGGTTTAGAAGGCCTTGTGGATTTTCTTCTGGGCTGAAGATTGTTTGAAAAGATGATATCATCGTTGTTGGTTGAAAAGAGTGGGAGTTTGTTGATCTGGATGTTGTGTTTAAGAGGGTATGTCTGTAGTGTGAGTCTCTGGATGGTTAGGTAGGGTTGAAGGAACTAAGATGTCATAAGGGAAACATTAAGGTCAGGGAACAGAGTAGAGGATTATGTAGGTTTAGCTTGATAAGGGAAAACATTTCTCATAGAAAAGCACATCTTTGAAAATGAATGTTCTCTTAGTTTTTAGGTTATAAAGTTTGTGCCTTTATAAGCACGAGGATACCAATGAGTATGTATTTAGATGCTCTGGGCTCAAATTTTGATCTATGTGTACTTAATGTTGATGCAAAACATAAGCAATCTATGACTTTTAGATGATCATAAGATGGATGT